AAAATTAGCTTGCCTCCTTTAATCGCAAAAATACGCCATGATGCCTTTGTCAAAATGAAAAATTGTGACAACTGGATTTGTAGAGAATTGTCTCAGCTAAAACATATCAAAATTTTAAAGAAAATTAATCAATTTTTAGAAAGATACAATCAATTTTCCAAAAAAATGCTGACGTCATAATAGGCAAATTAAAATTTTGAGTTCGGAGGCCATTATGATGACGTCATGAGTTAATTGAGGGTCGAATGAGACATGAAATCATATCTCTGATTCATACTCGCTCAAAATATGAAAAAAAAATTGGGGTCACCTTGCATCCTAAAGAGCTATAATGGATTTTGCATAGGCATGTTTTTGCCCATATATGCTATGTATTACAAGAGCTCGCGCGCATTGAAATTTATGTTAAACGGTCGATTATTCAATTATTTATAGTCATAAAGAGACAAACATGGTATCAATTTGTTTGTAAGAATATGTGGAATATTATGAAAGAAAAAAAATGGCGATTCTATGGTGTCTAATAGTTTTACGCGCGAAAACGCGCGCGCATGTGCGTGTGCGCGATTTTTTATAAAATGCTTAAAATGGCCTCAAACGTATGCAAAATGATTTTGAGACGATTTTGAGCATTTTAAAATTTTGCGCGCGCATTGACGCGCGGACGTACGCGCACGCGCGCGTTCTTTGACCTGAAATTGACCGGACGGATATTGACCTTGATCATGATAAATATGAATGAGAAATAACTTTTGGTTATGAAGATATGATCATAAGTTGATTTTCGTAAAATTTTACAAAATGGCGCCTAGATGACGTCATCAGTAATGTTTAATGTTGAAAACGTTATTGTGCTTTGTACATATGCCTATACATATGTGTGCTAAATTTCAAGGCTTTTGATTGAGCCATTTTCAAGTTATCCTGCCAACAAAAAAGTGGTTAGAAATAAGAAAAATAAACTAGATTTGTAATACTTGTTTGGAACAAGTATAGGTGGGCTGATCCAACAAAAAATTGAGACAAAATAAAGGGTACATTTGAAATAGCTTTTTGTCTCAGCTACAACATATTCGGAGTTCAGCGTAAATGAAGCTAACACGACGTAGATATTGCTCGCGAAAGACGGGAATGTAGAATCAAGTTTTGAGAAAAAGTCATGTCCCATAGAGAATACACGCAAAATGTGAAAAAATTGGCATGCCTCCTTTAATCGCAAAAATACGCCATGATGCCTTTGTCAAAATGAAAAATTGTGACAATTGGATTTGTAGAGAATTGTCTCAGCTAGAACATATCAAAATTTTGAAGAAAAGTAATCAATTTTTAGAAAGATACAATCAATTTTCCAAAAAAATGCTGACGTCATAATAGGCAAATTGAAATTTTGAGTTCGGAGGCCATTATGATGACGTCATGAGTTAATTGAGGGTCAAATGAGACATGAAATCATATCTCTGATTTATACTCGCTCAAAATATGAAAAAAAATTGGGGTCACCTTGCATCCTAAAGAGCTATAATGGATTTTGCATAGGCATGTTTTTGCCCATATATGCTATGTATTACAAGAGCTCGCGCGCATTGAAATTTATGTTAAACGGTCGATTATTCAATTATTTATAGTCATAAAGAGACAAACATGGTATCAATTTGTTTGTAAGAAGATGTGGAATATTATGAAAGAAAAAAAATGTCGATTCTATGGTGTCTAATAGTTTTACGCGCGAAAACGCGCGCGCATGCGCGTGTGCGCGATTTTTAAAAAAATGCTTAGAATGGCCTAAAACGTATGCAAAATGATTTTGAGACGATTTTGAGCATTTCAAAATTTTGCGCGCGCATTGACGCGCGGACGTACGCGCACGCGCGCGTTATTTGACCTGAAATTGACCGGACGGATATTGACCTCGATCATTATAAATATGAATGAGAAATACCTTTTGGTTATGAAGATATGATCATGAGTTGATTTTCGTAAAATTTTACAAAATGGCGCCTAGATGACGTCATCAGTGAAGGACAATGTTGAAAACGTTATTGTGCTTTGTACATATGCCTTTACATATGTGTGCCAAATTTCAAGGCATTTGATTGAGCCATTTTCAAGTTATCTTGCTAACAAAAAAGTGGTTAGAAATAAGAAAAATATTTAACTAGATTTGTAATACTTGTTTGGAACAAGTATAGGTGGGCTGGTCCAACTAAAATTTGAGACAAAATGAAGGGCACATTTGAGATATCTTATCGTCTCAGCTACAACAAACTCGAAGTACAGCGTAAACGAAGCTAAAACGACGTAGATATTGCTCGCGAAAGACGGGAATGTAGAATCGAGTTTTGAAAAAAAGTCATGTCCCATAGAGAATACACGCTAAATGTGAAAAATTGACATGCCTCCTTTAATCGCAAAAATACGCCATGATGCCTTTGTCAAAATAAAGAATAATTAGAACTGCATCTGTAGAAAATTGTCTCGGCTAGAACGTATCAAAATTTGGAAGAAAATCGATCAATATTTACAGAGATACAATCAATTTTCTATAAATATGCTGACGTCATAATATGCAAATTGGAATTTTGAGTTCGGAGGCCATTATGATGACGTCATGAGTTAATTGAGGATCAAATGAGACATGAACAAATATCTCCGAATCATACTCTATTAAAATATGAAAAAAATTGGCGTCACCTTGCATTCTAAAGAGCTACAATGTATTTTGTATAGGCATGTTTTTGCCCATATATGCTATGTATTACAAGAGCTCGCGCGCACGGAAATTTTGTTTAACGGTCGATCATTCCGTTTTTAATAGTCATAAAGAAACAACCATGGCATCTATTTGTTTGTAAAAATATGTAGAATATTATGAAGAAAAAAAAATGGCGATTCTATGTTGTGTAATAGTTTTACGCGCGAAAACGCGCGCGCATGTGCGTGTGCGCGATTTTTTATAAAATGCTTAAAATGGCCTCAAACGTATGCAAAATGATTTTGAGACGATTTTGAGCATTTTAAAATTTTGCGCGCGCATTGACGCGCGGACGTACGCGCACGCGCGCGTTCTTTGACCTGAAATTGACCGGACGGATATTGACCTTGATCATGATAAATATGAATGAGAAATAACTTTTGGTTATGAAGATATGATCATAAGTTGATTTTCGTAAAATTTTACAAAATGGCGCCTAGATGACGTCATCAGTAATGTTTAATGTTGAAAACGTTATTGTGCTTTGTACATATGCCTATACATATGTGTGCTAAATTTCAAGGCTTTTGATTGAGCCATTTTCAAGTTATCCTGCCAACAAAAAAGTGGTTAGAAATAAGAAAAATAAATAATAAATAAATAAATAAATAAAGGCAATTCTAACGAAATTATAAGGTGGTCTGTACGTTATACAGCCCACCTGATAATAAATAAATAAATAAATAAAGGCAATTCTAACGAAATTATAAGGTGGTCTGTACGTTATACAGCCCACCTGATAAATAATAAAGGCAATTCTAACGAAATTATAAGGTGGTCTGTACGTTATACAGCCCACCTGATAAATAAATAAATAAAGACGATTTTAACAAAAATATAAGGTGGTCTGTATTAGATACAGCCCACCTGATAAATAAAGACGATTTTAACAAAAATATAAGGTGGTCTGTATTAGATACAGCCCACCTGATAAATAAATAAATAAATAAATAATAAAGGCAATTCTAACGAAATTATAAGGTGGTCTGTACGTTATACAGCCCACCTGATAATAAACTAGACATGTAATACTTGTTTGGAACAAGTATAGGTGGGCTGGTCAACTAAAATTTGAGACAAAAAAGAGCAAAAATAAGCGAGATACTGCTTAAAAATTCTTAACAAACAGGATCATGTAGATTCATGACGTGAACGAAATTCACCTTCTATAGGCATAACACGCAAATTGTGACATTTCTGACATGAGGCCTTTAATCGAAATTTTCACTATGATGACGTCATCAAAATGAAAAATGGTTAGATCTAAACTTGTAGAAAATTGCCTTAGCTACAATATATCGAAATTTGGAAGAAAATCGATAAATATTTACAGAGATACAATCAATTTTACATAAATATGCTGACGTCATAATATGTAAATTCGTATTTTGAGTTCCAAGGCCATTATGATAATGTCACGATACACTTAATGGCCAAATGAGACATGAAATCATATCTCCGACACATATTCTATCTAAATATGAAAAAAAAAATTGAGTGTCTCGGTGCATTCCAAAGAGCTATAATGGATTTTGTATAGGCCTGTTTTTGCCCATATATGCTATGTATTAAAAGAGCTCGCGCGCATGGACATTTATCTTGAATGGACGCAAGGTCAAGGTTGAAAACGTTATTTTGATTTCTCTATATGCCTATACATATGTGTGCCAAATTTCAAAGCATTTGATTGAACCATTTAAAAGTTATCTTGCTCACAAAAAAGTGGTTCGAAATAAGAAAAATAAATAATAAATAATAAAGGCAATTTTAACAAAATTATAAGGTGGTCTGTATTAGATACAGCCCACCTAATAATAAAGGCAATTTTAACAAAATTATAAGGTGGTCTGTATTAGATACAGCCCACCTAATAAAGAAAGAAAATTCTGACGAAATCAATAGGTGGTCTGTTGACAACAGACCACCTAATTAGGGAAGAATGTGAACGATAACAAAGCAATGACGAAGATCTCGTCATTGCAAATAGGGAAGAATGGGAACGAAAACAATGCAATGACGAAGAACGTCATTGCAATAGGGGTAAAATGTGAACGAAAACAAAACAATGACGCAGAACGCTTTCCACTTCAGCGGAATGAACAGGCCACTTTATCACATCACATTATTTGCATCACAATGCCCATCAGGGCCGTCCCACTAAGCAGAGAAATATGAAGTCCTTTTATGGTTCGTTAGCTGTAGTTTCCTCTGGTTTCGTTGTTGGATCACATGATCCAACCGACTTGATCAATGGCAAGTCACCAGACGGTGACATACAAACTCACGCAGTCTTTGTCGTCCATTTCATACGGTTTATCCGTCACGAAGCATATTTGTGCGAAGGGAATCTGCATTGGATTGATTTGTAGATTATTTTCTTCGACACACGGTATATTTTGGCATCTGTCAAACCGGGAGGAATGACCTAGAGACAAACTCTCCTCTTATATTGCGAAAGAGACATTGTTAACGCTTTTATAACGCGTTCTAGAAGAGACCTCTCATGTCACCCGTTGCCAGCTTCTTTGAATTAAACTGTGTTAGAATTGTGTGTGAATCCTTTTAGCTCAGCTATAATTGGATATTCAGTTCCGAGGAGAGGACTTATTCCACGATTCATTTCACATTTAGCAGGATTTAAGCAACCAGTGAGTTTAATATATCATTTTGTGCTCGTTACCTCCAAAGTTTGTTGATACAATTAATAGCACCTACCGTGTGAGTAAAAAAAAAAAGGTTTACACCTAGAAAATTGCTAATTATTAAAAAAAATCATCTATGAAGAGTTAATTATTATACATCATATGAAAGAGTGTTTTATCCCAAATCATTTGGTATCATTTTCGTATGGTATATGTTCATAATTGAGATGAAGGTTATGTGTAGGGAATTGGGACCGCAGGGAATTGGAGACTACCAAGCTTGAACACATCACTGTCTGTCCATCTGTCCGTGTTGGCTTCAATATTGCTATAGAGCCATCTGTGGCCTTTAACAACACTACTGCATATTTCCAATTCATTTTGAAGACTAAAATGCGTTCTTTTTTTCTCGTAAAATTTTGCTCTGATATAAAAACACAATATCCACTGAATGTTGTGGTGTATGCAGATATTTAGAGGTGTTGTTGACGTGAGATTCGCTAGTTGCTTGATAATAAAATCTTTAAATATCGGATGGATATATACTGTCACTGTATTAGGAATCGGATTAGATCGAAGTTGAATTAACAGGAAATAATGTAGAAAAGAGAAAGACTGACAGGCAGGGAGTGTGACTTGGTTAACAGACGCTAGTCTTTCAATACATATCGATGAATATACTCTTATCTGTGAGAACAGAAACCATGGTCGTGGCGGGGGTGTTGAAATGCATATAGCGAACTCACATAATTATTTCCAAAGAGATGACATGACACTGGATTCAGAAATTTGTGACTCCATTTTTATAGAAATAGCTTAGAAAAGAGAAAGAATATTATAGTTGGTGGGGTATACAAACCCCTAAATACTCAGACCGAATGTTTTTCTGAAGCACTGGAGATTGTGTTCAACAAAATAACTAGCGACAACAAAATGTGTTATGTAATGGGTGATTATAATATCGATTTATTACAACATGTCCACTCGGTAAAAAACGTGATCGATATAGAATCCAGTAACTCATGCTACCCCTTAATCGACAAACCTTCACGAATTACGAAGTCATCTACCACTTTAATAGATAATATACTTTCAAATAACCTACTTTCATTTCATGATACTGGTCTATTGTATGGTGATGTATTGAATCACTTGCATTTTGTTACCATTTAAAATTTAAATGTTGCAGATGTAAAGTCATCGAAAGTAAACATCGGTCACAGAATTATAAATCAGAGGAATAGAGAGGCCTTAATTAGGAATTTGCAAGAAGTCGACTGGAGGGATGTTTGTGCTGTAGAACATCCAAACGTTAGTTATAATATTTGTTAAACAACTTTCGTGCATTGTATGATAAGCATTTTCCAATTGTATATTGAAAAAAAAAAAAAAAAAATGTTGGATGACGAATGGACTGTTACAGTCGATCCGACATAAGAATAAATTATACAAAATGTATATAATAAACAGTCAGACCAAAATGCTTATGTGTATAACAATTATCTTGACGCCTTTGAAGCAAATGAATCTGCAGTTGGAGTTCTTACAGATCCGTCAAAGGCCTTTGACACAATTAATCACAATATTTTACTATCTAAACTAAATCGTTATGTAATACGCGGTGTAGCTCATAAAATGTTCACCAGCTATCTTAACAATCTATTACAAGGTACTAAGTATCAATCTTCTATTTCGGAGTTTAGGAGAGTAACATGCGGAATTTCACAGGGTAGCCTGCTTGGGCCACTGATATTTATATTATATTTGAATGATGTTTATAAATCTGCTTATGAATCGTCTTTTATACTGTATGCAGACAAAACAAACATATTTCAGAGAGATTCAAACTTGAAGTCTCTTATGGATACAGAAAATGTAGGTCTTGCATATATATGTGAATAGTTCAAATATAATTATCTCTAAATGTAAAGAAATTTAATTATAGGATTTTTCACAATGGAAATAATACAGATTTAAATGGTTTGAATATTGTTCTTGATAACGGAGTATGGCCAAGGGTAGATAATAGTCAAATTTCTTGGAGTTTATTTAGATAGTTCCTTGTCGGTCTTGGAAATACCATATTCACGAAGTTGAAAGTAAGGTGTCCAAAAACATTGGCATTATATCAAGACTCAAACATCTCTTGCCCAATCACATTCTACGAATGTTATACCGTGCTCTTATACAATTTTTTATACTGTAATTTTGAAAATGATCATGTTCCCTATGAAGCTCAATTTAAGTATTTTATAACCAGAGAAAAAAAGAAGTCAGTCAGTCACTCAATAGTGTCTGACAGTAGAGTCTAGAGAGTAAATGGGTTTCATTCAAATGAAAATTTGGACATGATTTCATCATCCGATCAAAAAACTAAAAAGCACCGTTTTTATAGCCCATGGTTTCAGCTTTAACATACCGAAATTTGGAAAAGAACAGAACACAAATAAGCTAGATAATTTGAAGTAATAAACCTGTTTAATATACATTTGAATGTTGGATATGACACATGTAAGGCGCAAAGAAACAAATATGTGCGTTTCTTTCCAGCATCGGGATGTCGGGAGTGTGAATTACTCAGAATATGGGGCTATCAATACTAATTTCACTTCGTATGTCTCGTTAAAGAGACAACATGAGATCCTGCTCTTCGCGCATGCGCACAGTTGTTCTTCGCAGCTAAGGCTTATGAAAGGTAAATTTTCATCGCGCAAGTTATACTTCAATTTTCATCGAAAATCTTCAGTCTACATGTATGTATTTCATCTTTTGCACAAGCTGCGCCTTGAGCATTTGACTATCAAGTGGATTTGGCGCCTTATAAATCATATGTATTATTATTATTATTATTATTATTATTATTACATTGGAAACGAAGTTAACTTTGACTTTTTAAACGTTTTTTTGGACGTTTTAATCAGGTTAGACGCTCTCTAGGCTTTTCCACTATCGTTTTAGAGTTCACGATCAATGTCAGTGGGCACAGCGAATTTTCCGCCGTGCATGTCGGGGGACTTAGCCGACCGTAAAACACTCGTCCCGCCTAATGAGCCTAAGAGCTCCACGCGGGGAAATAAGAAAAAGACTTTACAAAAGCCAGACATCCCGTCGGGAAGTCGCTCAAGTTCAATTAGGCCAAAGTCTATGGCTCCAGCGACGGTCTCGAGACCCCTGGATGAACATAACAGAGAAGAAAACGTATGGGTTTAAAGCACTTCAGCCATGGAGCTTCGCATGAATGTATAGAAGCCATGTTGGCCCGTGTGGTTGCGGCCATTCCGGGCCCCTCTCAAAGCGGAACATTTTCCGACGATTTTGTTGAGTCAGCGGATTACGTTGGCTCGGATGATGTGGAGCAATACACATCGGAGGCTTGCGTGCCTAATATTGCAGCCAAGTTTGCTGTACACACAGGAGTGGGAGAACCACTTGATGTGGAGATTGCAAACTCAGCCTCATATTTGATTATGAAACGATTGGAAGATGAAGTCCTTTCAGATACTTTAGCTAAGTACTTGCATCCAAGTAATTGTGAATATTTGGACACCCCAAAAATCAACTCGGCAATATGAGAGAAACCTTTCACAACGAGCTCGCTTTCGTGACTTGTAACTACAGAGAGTTCAAAGATCTCTGACCAGAGGACTGTCGGCCTTTGCGCAGTTGCTTTCATCTCAGACAATCACAGAAACTCAGCAAGACTCTTTGGCATTAATCTGTGATGCCAATTATGAGTTGAATAGTTTGAAAAAGAATTCATTAAGCCGGAAATGAACGCGGCTTACAGCCATCTTTGCAAGCCTTCGGCTCCAGTGACAAAGTTTCTCTTTGGACATGAGCTTGGAAAACGCATGAAGGACCTCAAGGAGGAGCAACGGGTAATGGCCGGGGCGGTAGGAATTCAGCAAGAGAAGCCCATACATCGGGTACACCAACTTTACCACCCATACAAGACATTGACAGAAAATTTTTGATCAGTGTAGCCCACTTACCAGGCCGGGACAATACAGAAGCTGACCAAAAGTCAGGCAAATTTAATGACAGAAGCGAATGGATGCTTAAAGGCAGGCTTTACTACTTCAGCTAGAAGGGATTAGACCACCCAGCGAGTTAGCGAGGTCACTGTGACAGGTGGCTATCTCATTAACTCAGCTCTCATTTAACATAAGAAAAAGAGGATCATGGGGGACCAACAGGCACCGATTGGGGAAGTTTTCTATATAGAGGGAGCAAGTAGGTACAAGTAGGACAGTGTGCCTTTAATAGAGAAGATTTATATGAAGTAGTTTCATTTTTGGGCCTCCTGAGATTGACCTGTTTGCATTTAGAATAAATGCACAGTTGAGTAGGTTTGTATCTTGGCGACCACTTATGCAGAATCAGTGGATGCTTTTTCACTGAACATGAGAAAATTCAATTTCTATGCATTTCCCCCTTTCTGCCTCATACCCAAATGCCTCCAAAAGATTAGAATGGATAATGCAAAAGGACTGTTGTCCCAAATCGGCCAACGCAAGCATGGTTCCCATGTCTTAAATAAAGCGATAATAAAAGGAGAACCACTCCTATAAAAGAGAAAAGACAGCCTTCTCACTCAACCTGGATCTAATGTGCACACCCCTTTAATACACGATCGTCTTGATCTTCTTTGTTTCAGATTATGCGGGAATCCTTTAATAATGCTACGTTTATGCTAGGTTTACACAGAGAGGTGAAATCTAGAAAGGAGTGGTAACTCTTGTAATTTATTCAAACGCATTCGTGAGTTCTAAAGCGTAACAATGGAATGTGTAACATTCCACTTGGCTTTGAAGTTCCATGCTCCGAACCGCGCTTCCACTGCGGTGAATTTCGGAGGCACTGCACCAGTTTCACATTTATTACAAAATATCAAATTACCAGCAAAATGTCAGTGTAAATTATAAACTTTATATGGAGAATGTAATGGGAATAGTGCATCAAACAATTTTTCAAATTTAGTACTCCGCCCTTCCTATAATTTGTGTGCCAGAGTTGGTAAAAGAAAAATTAGATCCTGACAAAAACTCAATATTTTAGGATAATGCGCTACTTTGTGCGTGTTTTAACGCCCCGTTATTTGATCCATGACAATCTTCGATAACTATAAGTTGGCTAATGCGTGTTTCGCGTGTTTTCTGTATTTTTGCAGTTGGAAAAAGGATGAAATTACACAAGTTTGTGTTCGCTTGTTCTACTCATTACACATTTAACAATTGATAAGAAATCACGGAAAGGGACAGCGAACAGTTGCTGTCCCAGATAGCAAAGTATCTGGGCCCATATGGGAATCATGTGGGCCTACTGGGGCCCATATGTACCATGTAAAACCCATATGTGGCCCATATGGTTTGTCCCACCTAGAACCCAGATAATAAAAACCATATGGGCCCCATGTGGTATCTATATGGGCGATGTGGTCTTATTTCAGGGTCGACTGAGCCCAGATAGAAACATATAAAACACATATGGGGCCCATATGGGTTTTCCCACCTAGAACCCAGATAATAAAAACCATATGGGCCCCATGTGGTATCTATATGGGCGATGTGGTCTTATTTCAGGGTCGACTGAGCCCAGATAGAAACATATAAAACACATATGGGGCCCATATGGGTTTTCCCACCTAGAACCCACATAATAAAACCATATGGGCCCCATGTGGTATCTATATGGGCGAAGTGGCGTAATTATGGATCGACTGAGCCCAGATAGAAACATATAAAACCCATATGGGGGCCGTATGGGTTTTCCCACCTAGAACCCACATAATAAAACCATATGGGCCCCATGTGGTATCTATATTGGCGAAGTGGCATAATTATGGATCGACTGAGCCCAGATAGCAACATATAAATCCCATATGGGGCCCATATGGGTTTTCCCACCTAGAACCCACATAATAAAACCATATGGGCCCCATGTGGTATCTATATGGGCGAAGTGGCATAATTATGGATCGACTGAGCCAAGATAGAAACATATAAAAACCCATATGGGGCCCATATGGGTTTTCCCACCTAGAACCCACATAATAAAACCATATGGGCCCCATGTGGTATCTATATGGGCGAAGTGGCATAATTATGGATCGACTGAGCCCAGATAGAAACATATAAAACCCATATGGGGCCCATATGGGTTTTCCCACCTAGAACCCACATAATAAAACCATATGGGCCCCATGTGGTATCTATATGAGCGAAGTGGCGTAATTATTGATCGACTGAGCCCAGATAGAAACATATAAAACCCATATGGGGCCCATATGGGTTTTCCCCACCTAGAACCCACATAATAAAACCATATGGGCCCCATGTGGAATCTATATGGGCGAAGTGGCATAATTATGGATCGACTGAGCCCAGATAGAAACATATAAAACCCATATGGGGCCCATATGGGTTTTCCCACCTAGAACCCACATAATAAAACCATATGGGCCCCATGTGGTATCTATATGGGCGAAGTGGCATAATTATGGATCGACTGAGTCCAGATAGAAACATATAAAACCCATATGGGGCCCATATGGGTTTTCCCACCTAGAACCCACATAATAAAACCATATGGGCCCCATGTGGTATCTATATGGGCGAAGTGGCATAATTATGGAGCGACTGAGCCCAGATAGAAACATATAAGACCCATATGGGGCCCATATGGGTTTTCCCACCTGGAACCCACATAATAAAACCATATGGGCCCCATGTGGTATCTATATGGGCGAAGTGGCATAATTATGGATCAACTGAGCCCAGATAGAAACATATAAGACCCATATGGGGCCCATATGGGTTTTCCCACCTAGAACCCACACAATAAAACCATATGGGCCCCATGTGGTATCTATATGGGCGAAGTGGCATAATTATGGATCGACTGAGCCCAGATAGAAACATATAAAAACCCATATGGGGCACATATGGGTTTTCCCTCCTAGAACCCACATAATAAAACCATATGGGCCCCATGTGGTATCTATATGGGCGAAGTGGCATAATTCGTCACTGTTTTCACGAAGTGACGGTAGTGAAAAAAATTGCATTCACTTTGCGTAACGATTTTCCTCACTACCGTCACTTCGTGAAAACAAGGACGAATTATGGATCGACTGAGCCCAGATAGAAACATATAAAACCCATATGGGGCCTATATGGATTTTCCCACCTAGAACCCACATAATAAAACCATATGGGCCCCATGTAGTATCTATATGGGCGAAGTGGCATATTTCTGGGTCGACTGAGCCCAGATAGAAAAATATGAAACCTATTTGGGGCCCATATGGGTCCTCCCACGAATCCATATAATAAAACCACATGGGCCCCATGTTGTTTCCATATGGGCGGTGTGGCTTATCGCCTGATCCCAGATAGAGACATATCTAACCCATATGGGGCCTATATGGCCCACCTAGAACCTACGAAGTAAAACCATATGGGCCCCACTTTGTATGTATATGGGATCGCTTGAGCCCAGAAAGAAACGTATCAAACCCATATTGGCCCTATATATTGGTCCTACCTGAAACCAAATAATAAGTAAACCATATGGGCCCCATGCGCCATCTACAGGGGCGATGTGGTTTATCGCCTGAGCCCAGATAGAGACATATCAAACCCATATGGGGCCCATATGGGTCCTCCCACGAACCCACATTATAAAACCATATGGGCCCCATGTGGTATCTATATGGGCGATGTGGCTCATCGCCTGAGCCCTGATAGAAACATATCAAACCCATATGGGCCCCATCTGGGTTCTACCTGCACTTTCGAGAGAAAAAAAAAATTGGTTGGCTGCTACCCCCTCCCCCCCCCCCCCCCCTGCGTGATGCTCCCATATCTGATGATGATGATATTTGATGATAATCCGAAAAAGTGGATTTTATTTCAATAAATTTAATTAAAATCCCGCCCCCACCACGAGCCCACGATTGTGCGCAATTATGTAGCGCACATAGAAATGATTCACTAATTTCGTTACGTATAATCGACGTTGCACGTGCGCTATACATCGCGCTAGACTATTGACTCGTACGTGCATGCATGCTTACATCGCATATATTCAACAGACAACACACGTGTCTATTAGCCGATCAGTCTTTTGTCTTTTGATGGTTCCTGACCCTGCATGCATGCTTCTTGATCGACTGACACCAGGTGATACAGTTATATTTAGCTCAAAAACATTAGTTATGTGCATGTAACGAGGTGTTTAGTATTTCAGTGGTTCGTTATATTCATGAATTATATTGGCGATATCGTGAAATAAGCCACCACTAGTTCAGTGTGTATGCATACACTTGTGTACAAAGTCTATGGAGGTGGAAAGAATCCCCCTATGCGTAGACAATGAAGCTATCCTGTGCGGCATGAATGAGGGGTGTTCTGTATTGTACTCTGTAGTAATTATGTTTTGTGCATAGTGTGCATATGCAGTACTGAAGTAATGACAGATGTGCACATATTAAACTGGATATAGTGAGTGTATATAATCTACATGTAGGTGCTTTTAGATTTCCCTACTTGATCTTAAAAGAAGTAACAGTGTTAGTTACTGTTACTGTGTTAGCTTCTCGAGGCCTGGTGACTTGGTTTACAATTACAGTCTTTCGGTGTTACTGTTAATAGGTATACTAGTGTTATACTGTTACTTTGACGACAAGCACATAAACTGGATAGTAGTACTAGCTGAGTACATGTATGACTGTGCTTGAGATTTCCCTTCTAATTCTATTAATGACTGAGTAATGTCTACTGTGAGTAAATTGATAAATTGATCCCTCCTTGTATGAGAGGTTTTGTGTACAGAGACAGTGTACAATATTTGTCCAAGTGATACTGATACTACTCTTTATAAATTATTACATTAGAGACACAAAGGAAGCAGGGATCACCAATGACCACTGTGCCGGAGACTGATTCATAAGATTATTCTGCAAGTAAGTTGATACTTTCATTATTTAAAATTTTGTCATCAAAAAGTTTTTAAATGTATTTAACAATGAAGTTATGCCTCTTTATGTGGTTGTTTTGCACAGTTTAGTTTTTGTTTCTGTGAGGTTTTTTTTAATATTCACTATAAGGTATGTAAAATATGCATTTTCTTAATTTCCATTTACAGATACAAGAGTGTTTAACATACTTGAGAAAGTTGTGGAGAGGCTTGACCGTGTGGAGGATCTACTGTCAAGGATAGTAGAGCGTCAGCCATTACCTTGTGATGATGAGGGTGTTGATGAGGCTGTTCTCCCTCTATTGCCATGTGAGAGCCGGGAAGCCCTACAGGAGCTGAACACCCTCCTAGAGGCGTCATCGGTAGCTCGAAAGAAATTGGTACAAAACTAATTCTGTCTTATGCAAATTGTATCTATTACTCACCTCTTTCTTCCCCCTTCTTTTAGTAATTTATTTGCACCAAATTGTGTAGTTTAAAGATGATACAATGTGTTTTGTATATAAAATTGAACACTATGGAAATGTTAGATGAAAGTTTTGAATTATGAACGAACGAAGTAGACAAACAAAATTTTGTAAATTTGCAATTTTGCAGCGCTTAATCTAAACTCTACTCAATGTCATGGCTCTTGTCATAGGATTTTAATTCATTTTCCTCTCTTTTCCAGACACGCATCCTGAGCCTCGTTGGTGGGTCTGGGCAGGCGGTCTGCAGAAACGCTATGAAAAAAATAGTAGGCCACGAAGTAAGCAAGATCTTCAATTTAACGGGAGCAAAGGGGAAGTTTGCTTTTGCCGACTTCAGAAGCCTGAATGCTGTAGTAACAAGTAAGCAATCTTCCTATTTGCTCTGTCCCTGATAGAAGCGGTCAGGGCTTCAAGATAATATGTCTATAATTTTGTTTTTGTTTCAATTGATTTAAAAAAAAAAAGAACAGATATTAGACAATCAAGATTTTAAGAGACAGCAAAGTAAAAAATCCCCCCCCCCCCTTCAAAAAAAAAAGTAGTTGTCAAGGGTGAGTTGTCCTGATATGATTACAAATGTAACAAAGTTATCTTGTGCAGAGCTAAAGAATTTATATAAAGTTGAAGGGTTTAGCATTTTATTACTTTTTCGATTAATGATGTTGAGTGTTTGGTCCTAGTCGGGTTTCCCAATATATTATATTTTAAATAAAAAGATATATGAATGTTTCAGGCTCAGTGTTGCAAAAAGAGCAGTTTTGCGAAAATATGTAAGAATTTGATCCATTCAATTGCCTTATATAATAATTTAAAATGTAGTGCAAGAATACAGGTATATATAGAAGGAGCATTTGAAATTGCTGGAATGACAGGCCTGTGCCGATATAGATATCTGCATATTTTAGGCACATCGGAATCTGCAGATGATTTTTTTTTCTATATTGGTATTAGCCAATTTGTAAAAAAGGTATATCAGTTCTGGCATCAAATTAATCTATTTGCTTACAAGGTTGACAATAAGCTAACATAATACCATAAGCACATTTAGGGATTTTTTTTTTATTTTACTAAGCTTATCCATTGCTGTATCAACTATTCATGGGTGTACTGTAATCTGAATTAACCAGCCATCGGGGATTAATGTGAGAACAAAATTGGCAATTTATATTCAGCATTAAAAGGTGCAGGTAAATCACTAATGGATGTTATCACATCTGCTGAGGGTGGAGGAATCAATTTTGATTGTGGGAAGTTGAGACTGTCTATTGTTTTCCTTTTCTTAGTACTCTCTTTGAGTATATCAAGATAATTTTTGTAATGATGCGTTATTTAATTGAGTAGGTTTTGCATAATGATTTAACAAATACTGGAGCAGAAAATGCAACTTGTTGACTGAATGTTATTACCATGGAAGTTCTGTTTTCTAAACACCAGATGAATATCATATACTTTACAGACAATACATCCTTCTTTTTTCAGAGGGTATACGACCCAACAGAGGGATGAAGGATACCTCAGAAAACGACATATCCATGTGGACTGGACGGTGGTTCACCAATGCCAGGGATCGGCAAGGAGACCGACGGGCAAGGAGGATGGCCACAGGAGCAAACAACCATCAAGGACCTGAGTAACAGATCTGATGAACTGGTGTTATTTTAGGTCAGAGGTCAAAGGTCACAGGGTCCTAAAAGTGTTATAAAATCCCAGAAAATATGTCATTGCTGTGGGAACTTAAAAATAATTTTAAAACCATACTAACCCAGTACCCAGTTATAGCTCCATCAACTCCATTTAGCAACAAAATTCTCTTCACGTAATGATGTTTTTTTTTCTTTTCAAAACCCCTTTGTCTCCTTACCGATCCGTGGCGTTGGTGATCTCAAGAGTTGAAGCTCCCAGTAGGGTTAAACTTATGCGGGGTTTACAGTATTTATTAAAATTAGCTTCTAGGTATTTTTGTAAATTGAGGAGAGAAAACATTTTTGTCTCGCTGTTAGAAATAGCTCTAGCAATTTATTTGGCGGAACAATTTTTAATTACCTTTGACTCGGGTAGTAGGTACATCTTTTCTGTAGTTCTAGAGTTTACTAAATCATTCAGGAATGAGACAAAAACAGGGTCATCACTTGTGTGTGAGATAAGATAAATGTACATAACATATATATTTTATGCTTTGTATTCAAAGTTTTATATAAATGACTTGACCTTACAATCTTGTATGGAATCAAAAACCAAAAAACCAATTAACACACACAAAAGCTCTATCTTAGCCCATGTAAGCTGCTTGAACAGAACAATTTTTAACTTTGACACGGGTAGTAGGTACATATTTTTCTGTAGTTCTAGAGTTTACTAAATCATTCAGGAATGAGACAAAAACAGGGTCTTCACTTGTGTGTGAGATACGATAAATGTACATAACATATATATTCTATGCTTTGTATTCAATGTGTTTATATAAGTAACTTGACCTTAAAATCTTGTATGGAATCAGAAACTAAAAATCAATAACACACACAAAGCCCTATCTTAGCCAAGGTAAGATGTACGATCAGATATTTAGTTGGGTTTGTTTTCCCCACCTGAACTGAAAAAGTATACCAGACAAGTATTCATTAGCATTAATGCACCTTGCCAATCTTTGCAAATCTTTGCCAACATAAGGGCCTAAATTCTCGAAGCTAGGTTTACGTAAACCTTGATTTAAGACGCGTCATATGACGTCATTTTTCAGACCATGTTTTAAATTATGTTAAGGAACTCTACGTAAAACAGTGGGCAACGTAAACCGTGGACATCATAGACCACCTTCGTGAATTCAAGCCAAAGTGTGCAAACATTTTTTGTCGCCAATTTTTTTTTAATTAGTAACTTGCCAATTTATTGACATTTGTGTATGAAACCAAAATGTGCTTATTATGTACTATAAATATTTTTGTAAGATGACAATCGGTGTGCTAAGTGGACTTTGGCTGAAACAAAAAAGAACGTTCTAAACAAATCGTATTAGTATTCAAGATTATGTTAATGCATTGTGTTATATATTTTCTAGATGTAAGAAAAGTTGAACAATGATATGTTCTTGGTTTTTTTTAATGTAGTACCGGTACATATACATGTAACATGTTTCTGAACAAGTTTTATTATAGGAACTGGAGTTATTGGAGTATGATACATGTTTTTATATGTGTTATTTTTTGTGTTTTTACATTCAATTAGAGAAGAGAGCACCAGGCTTCCTTTGATATTGTATATCCCTAAAATTTTTCTTTCCTGTTCATAATCACAACAATGTTCATGATTCAAATTCGTTTAGCTTTGAAGCATAGCATATTGATTATTAATTAAAATTTTTCTTTTTCAACGAAGAATTCTATGTACTATTGTTCTTTATCTGAAGTTTCTGCCATTTAATACAGAGAGTACGTGCACACACAGAAACCAACCCCAATGAAGCTCTTTCCCCGCTTATGGAGTTCAGACTCGCACCCACTATACATTTTTATGACAAGCTGCATGTAGATAAGTCATGGCTTCCATACAAATTCCAAAAAAAGTCCGCAGCACAAAACAGTATATTGTGGAAGTACATGTATTGTAAGTTGGGTTTGAGTTCTGTGTATTTTCTACCCTCCCTTGCCCCCTAAATGAACATTATAATTGTATCTGGATTGGAAATACAATGTACATGTCTTCATGAAGCCACATATTGATTCTGATCATATTGATTTGATTTATAGTATTGCTTTTGTGGATATGTTATTTGATTATTGGACAGAGTTTTAAATGATCTCACTATAAAATTGTGAATGATTAGATGCATGCACATGTTAGAAATTGGCATATCCGATCCAGAAACTTAAATACTGTAACAGTCAAGTTATATCCCAAACGATACCTATTATGGTTATAATACATGGGAGTAATGTGCGCCTGCCCATATCAAACCCAGACGAAACCCACTTGGCCCATATGGTCCCTACATAGGGTGTAAATATGGGTCCCAGATGGGCCAAGTGGGGCCAATATGGACCCACATATAGCCCAAATGGGCCCCATATGGTTTACATGGTATGTGGGCCTGCCCATATTTAACCCACACGAAACCCTGGCCCATATGGGCCCCAGATGGGATGTACGGTGCAAAACACATGGGTCCCAGATGGGCCAAGTGGGGCCTATATGGGCCCATATATATCCCACATAGGCCCATATGGGAGCAATGTAGGCCTGCCCATATACAACCCACACTAAACCCACTTGGCCCAAATGGGCCCCACATAGGGTGTACATATGGGTTCCAGATTGGCCAAGTGGGGCTTATATAGGCCCATATATAGCCCAAATGGGCCCCATATGGTTTACATGGGTACGATGTGGGCCTGCCCATATTTACGCCACGCGAAACCCTGGCCCATATGGGCCCCAGACGGGGTGTACGGTGCAAAAAACACACGGGTCCCAGATGGGCCAAGTGGGGCCATACATAGCCCACATGGGTAACCCATATGGGAGCAATGTGGGCCTGCCCATATTCATCCCACACTAAACCCACTTGGCCCAAATGGGCCCCACATAGGGTGTACATATGGGTCCCAGATTGGCCAAGTGGGGCCCATATGGGCCCATACATAGCCCAAATGGGCCCCATATGGTTTACATGGGTACGATGTGGGCCTGCCCATATTTACCCCACGCGTAACCCTGGCCCATATAGGCCCCAGACGGGGTGTACGGTGCAAAAAACACAAGGGGCCCAGATGTGCCCATATGAGCCCATACATAACCCACATGGGTAACCCATATGGGGCCCACATTTAAGCCCAGATAAGCCCACAAGTAACCCATATGGGCCCCATATATTTTGCTAACTTGGGTGATACCATTTCTGATGTCATGTCATGCGCTCTTTTATCTCACCACCTGGTCAACAGTTGCAGATTAGCGCATAACTTTTCGGCGGCGTGGAGCATGGGGTCAAAGGAGAGCGGCTTGATTCCAGTCCTTCTCTATCACGTCCCTGGTTTACACTATGTTTTCGGCGGCCACGGCAACCCCGTTTGCCCGAAACGTAGTGCGCCGTAGGACTTGGGGCATTTGTATCTCTGTATTCAAGTTTTGTTAGGTCTTGCCAAGTTTTCTCACGGTCTATCACGGTTTCCGTGACGGGCCGCTTGAGGGAAAGAGGATGCTGTCCCGGAGGTTCATAGGCACACTACGGTTCGGCCTGCAGTCTACCACTGATGTCAGTACGTTCCCTACCGGTCCGTTACATTCTGATGGGGTACCTCATGTTTCTCACGTTCTGATCAAGTTCTGACACGTTTTTCACGTTCTGTCAATCACTCATGCGTAACCGTCCAGGCGCATTTTGTCCGTTTCTGGTCCGTTTTTAGGTCTATTTTTCTTCCTACCTATCTCTTCCATCCTAAATCCTGCAGATTTCTAACAAATTTCTCTAATTAGTCTAAAAGATGTTCTTTAATCTGCGACGTTTCCCTTCCCGAAATTCAAATCTGAAACCGACTCCGTCAAAAATCTCAAAAATTATTTTTCATATTGCTTCGGTTGTCTCATTTTCGCTCGCTGGACGTATATAGCAGACGACAATCGGCGGATTAGACGACACTTGGTAGTGAATGTGTATGTGAGATTGCTTTGCTAAATATAAAATACAAGAACATTTTCCATATCTTTAAACTATCATTGATATCTGATAATTAAACAGTTATTAAAATAAACCTACCAAACTACATAACGTCGGCCTTATGCCAAAAGGGCCTTAACCCGATTTTGGGGGTTATTGAGTTATTAACATCACCTTGTAGATTTCATCATTCTCTTTAAAATGATGTGCTTCACTTGTTGAAATTCGATTTATTTATGAAGATAATTATGAATTTCAAAAGGGCCTTAACGCGTATCTCATCTTTTCCCTTACGCCAAAAGGGCCTTAACCTACACGGATGATCCATTTGCGTTAGGATGGCCTTTTTGGCAAACCAAAGGTGTTGCGAAACAAGAAAATTTCCTTATGCCAAAAGGGCGCTAACTATGCGTGCGTACGCGCGCATAGTTACGCGTACGATAACGGCAGGTTAAGCCCCTTTTGGCATAACGCCGCGTAGGTTACGCCCCTTTTGGCATAATGCCGAGTAGGTTACGGCCCTTCTGGCATAAATACGCTTCATTCAAGCCTCATGCCAAAAAGGCCCTAACATGTTTTTTGCACATAGCATGTACAATTCTGAATATTTTATAACAAATTTAACACATTTCATGTAAAACTTAATAACTTAACACATTTATCGAAATTGGCTTCAAAAGCAAAAAAACGACCACAAAATTTTGATTATTAGAGAGGCCAAAACCTTTAAACGCGATTATCTCGGAATGGCCAAAAGCAGTTAAGGCCCTTTTGGCATAAGGCCGACGATAATACAATGAAATACTTGACAATTGCACCCTTCTGTAAATAATCGAATAGTCCATGGTGATCATGAATATTCATGTTTTTGCTTACCTCGGCAAAATGTGTGCTTTTACTAAATGGAAAAATTACGGTGGGGGGGGGGGGGTTGGATGAAATGGACATAATGAACCAAGCAGAAGTGATCTATGATAATTATGCTTCTTATCCTTCGTGTGCTTGACCTATAATCTTACAATCGCTTGGCAAACTGAGTCCAAAGTTCGACTTGTTTCACATGTGTTTTATAGGCAATTGCGAGCTTGCCATCTATTTTGATCAAATTACGGTTGGTGAACTTTCAAAAGTCAATGGGACATGAGGGTTCCAATGTAAGAGCTAGTGATAACGTACGTCGGGGTGGGTGTGCTTTTCGTCGGGATAGTTGAGTTCTGTTTTCAGACCGCAAATGCCTTCAAAGTGCATGGTTACTGCTCGTATTCTTATCTATGACATTTATAGTGCCCTTATGGAACCCAAAAGTGCTATGAAGGTCATTTAGACCCCAACATATGTGAAATCTGGCCAATACGATCATACCTTTTCAGCTCCAGTTTAAAAAAAAAGATGGTGACCGTTAATTAATTATTTAATTAAAAATAACAACACATGGGCCGGCTGGTTGTGCGTGATATAAGCAACACGAAAATGCCAACAGAAAAGCCAACTTCGGCATTGGCTAAAATACGACGTAAAAGGCGTTATTTCGTGTTTTTCAACGTTTTTTTCTAATTTGTCTAAATATCTAATATTGTAGTGGTACACAAGTATTAGAAATTGTTATATTTCAGCCGTCTCTGAACCGATTTTGATCAAACAAAAATAATTTTAATTTAAATATTATGTTCTTTTAAATTTGACACTCAGTTTGTCGATATCTCACAAAAAAATTATTTTGTGTAGCGCCCTCTGCAACAAAACTCAACTATCCCTTTAAACAAAGAATGAATTTTTAACGATTTTTGTGGGTAAAATTCCATAGGCTAACATGTTAGGCTGCTGACTCTGACGATAGGGGGCGTTGTCAAATGAGACTAAACGGAGCTATATGTTACCCCTAAAAATCTCAAATTGCCATAACTTTCTCATTCCAATTCCGTTTCGTCTCAATTTCTTCCTCTATCTCGGTATCTTCTCCCGGTTCGGAGGTTAATTGCAACATCTCTCTATTTCACTCTATCTTCTGCCATTCTGGTGCACTCTTGCAGTTTTAGTCCACTCCAGTTCTTGACATTCTTTTCCCAGTTGATTCTGGGTCTCCCTCTAGGTCTACTTCCTTCCACTCTTCCTTCCAATACATCCTTTAAGATGCTTTGGTGCCTTTTAACGTGACCAAAGTATTTTATTTTTCTCTCCTTAACTAATCCTACTAGTGCAGTTTGTTTACGCCCTGCCATGTGCAATATCTCTTTGTTGGTTTTCATTCGTTTCCAGGATATTTTCATCATTCTTCTGTAGATCCACATTTCAAAAGATGTTATTCTATTTCCCATGGCCTTGTTTATTGTCCATGTTTCTGCTCCATACAATAGGACAGACCATACATAACAGTTTACTAGTCTCAGCCTAAGCGCAAATTTCACCTTTCTATTTGTGAATAATCCTTTCATTGCCAGAAATGTATTCCGAGCAATTTCTATTCTTCTTTTTATTTCTGCTTCGCATCTGGCATCATCTGTGATATTTTGTCCTAAGTAGATGTAATTACTGACTTGCTCAATGATATGTCCGTCGAGTTTCAAACGTATTCTAGGCTTATTCTCTGTTCTACTAAAAATCATTGACTTAGTTTCTTGACTTTCATGCTTAGACCAAACTCTTCACTTTTGACTTTTACAATATCCAATACATGTTGTAAATCTGCTTCATTCTCTGCGCAAAGTACAGTGTCATCAGAATAACGTAATTATTAATATTTACACCCCCAATACTAACACCTTTCATATCTGAAATTTCTCTGAATACCAACTCTGTGCACAAGTTGAACAGAGATAGGGACATTACGCACCCCTGACGTACTCCTCTTTTGATTTTTGTGTAACCTGTAATTTCATTGTTAATTTTGATGGCAGCTGT